ATGTCGAGGAGATGCATCTGTCGCTTGGATTCATTTTCAGCAAGCGGCCGGGCCGGTTGTATGTCCGCTGATATTTCGAAAACGTAGACTTAAACAAGATAAAGGAGATAAAAAGCAAAAATGAATAATCCAGACGAAGCGGGAGACGCGAATTCTCCGCCACTGCGAAATAACACGAAGCAAAAATATACGCCGTAAATCAGCTTGTACATTTTCTCGTTAAAATAGAATCACTCGACCTATGTTAATAAAATATGGATCGTTTCATCTTCGCAAATTTAATTCTTTGCGAATGCGCGCGAATTAATCTCCGGTAGCGTAGGTGATCAATGCGTAATGGAGCCCGATGGTTAATGGAAACGCATGAGTCCATTAGTTTCGCACTTTTAACCCGGTCGTGTCTCAATGTCGCCGCGGCGCGACGTTCTATTTCAAACTCGGCGACAGATACACGCGGTCAGCGCGCGTATCTGTGTACAGAGCGCAAAAAGGATCAACATGCAATATGCGGTGCTCGCGAGCGCGCTCGCGAGCACCGCATTATTCTTACTAATGGCGTTGGCCAAACGCGCGAGAGCCGCGATAATGAAAAGACCACCTCTGTAAAAAGCGTAACCACGCGCGATCATCCGAGATAATCCGTTCGGAGAGAAAGAGAACTGAAAACCCGGAAGGCCGAAAGCTTGCACTCGATACCACAACAACAACAACAACAGTGACAAACAAGAGAAAAGTCACTCCGACAGGTGTGAAATAAAAGGGAAATTGCTGCCGCCGCCGCAGTAGCCGCAGTTGGACATATCAATCGACAATTGCGAAATTTGCACTAAAGACTAGGGTCGATGATCGCAGTTGCAAATTATTCACGATCTTTGGCTGGGGCATAATTAATGGGGCAAATTCGCGTTTCGTTATTCGACTGTTTAAATCATTTCTTACTTCTTATAAGATAAATGCATATGCAAGTGGACGAATGATCCGAGATTCACGAAACTAATTAACATGCAAATAATGATGGGCTACGAATGCCGAACTAAATCTCGAGATATTTCTTTATTTTTTATTTATTCATTATTTCTTTTTTTTATTCGTAAGTTTTATTCGGTAAGTTCGTCTGTAAAAACGCACGTACTGCGTGTAACAAATAGTTTTCAACTCACCCGAAAGTATATGATGTATCGCTCGTGTTTTGCGCCAGTATCTTGCGTTTTTCGTCCTGCTTTCCTGACCCTGGCTGCTTCGTAGTGGCACTCGAACTTGCACTGATATTGACGCTAACGCAGATACGATCCTATTGGAAAAATGATGATCAAATTATAAGAAGGAATTTACACGGTTTACTCATCCGTCATTTCTTTGTATTAACTGCTCCCCCCCCCCCCATATTCGCTCACCTCGCATATTCTACCTGCGGCCAAACACGCTGGAGAATTGATAAATCGCTTATTGAAACTGCGAAATGATTAAACGCAGGTGGAATATATCGAGACGACGAAATAGAGTGAAATAATAAAAACTATAATATCGCGACTCGATGTCTGTCTTTCTTTAACAGTCCGCGATGATTCGCCGTTTTGCGAGCGCGCGCCGTCGACGGACGGAAAATTGCGCGCGTTCCCGCAAAAGATCATACACGAAGTTAGCGTGCCACCGCCGCGTGCTGTCGCGTGCAAGTGTTATATCTTGTACGACGGGGATTTAATGAGGTCCTCCCCGGAGGCGAGAGGTGGATTCCCCTTTGGTTCAAAGAGTTGGCGCCCTTTGCGCCGAAGCGAGGAGTACCTTTGACGCTTTATCTCTTTGTTTGATATCATAATTAATTTTACGTTCTTATTCTCGCATATTAAGCGCTAGCGCGCGCGCGCGCGCGCGCGCGTCTCCCTTGCATCGCCTGCGGACTTTGCGCGCGAAATTTAATATAATACGTTGTAACATCGCAATTTTCCAGGCTACACATTTTCAAGTTTTCAAGTTACGTTGCAACTTCTAATTGAGTTTATTTATAACTCGACGTGTTTTATCCCCCGTAATTTAATTCCTAAATCAGCAGCGAATCTCTCTCTCTCTCTCTCTCTCGTCTCGGTGGAACGAGCCGGAGGCTCGTAACGTTAAGATCGTGGTCGATCAACAGTTCACACTTTGCGCCGAAAAATCGCGCGTTTCCCGATTATCCGCGACCGCGGGAGCAAATCTCTATCTCGTGACTATCACGCGCGAGCAATCCCATCCTCTTCGGTATGTGCACGCGCGCACGAGTCCGTGAACCTTCGCTGCGAACGCATGCGGCCGCGCGAGCGTGCGAATGTGCATAACACTCGGTATTGCTGCACATCAGCGGCGCGACGTGACTGCGCATCCGTTTACACAGCCACGACTGTTAATTTCGTCGACATATTGAGCATATTTGAGTGTGTATACGGTGTGTCTACCGTCGGACGTTAAATGATTGGCCAATCCGAGAGGTTAAATATTGACTCTGCCGCGGCTGTCGGTACATACATACGTACAGTCGTCCCCGTCATCTTCCTCTCACCACGTCTCCCTCGCAGTACGGAGATAATCGTCACGGTGGCGATTTATAATTATTAATTAACCTCGAGGTTTACGAAGGAAGCGGGCGTCCACCCGCGGTGGGAATTCCGCGCGCACGCGAACGTCTGGATACCGCTGGATTACGCGCAGCAGCCGATCGCTGTTCAACTCGCGCGGATATGTGATTCCATTTTTGCCGCAGGGCTTCCGCAGAAATTCCGACGGCGAGGGGGAGGGCAGGGAGGAGGAGAAAGAATTTCAACTATTAAATTACATAAAATTACGTACGACCGTCCCTAGGGCGATTTTTCGCCGCGCGCGCGCGACCGATCCCTTCGAGTTGCCGCGCGGTCCTTTTATTGCTCATCCACCCCCCCCCCGTCCCCACCTGCGATCCTCCAAAAGACCCCGAAGAGTTATAATTGCCAGCCACTGCGGGGGAACGAGGGAAATCGCTGTCTTCGCTGGCGGAGACTGTGCTTTTTCACGATCGTTGAAACTTATCGCTCGTTATTACTCGCATTCCGCCGGTCGGACCGTAATTAGACCAGATGTCCCAAGAATTACGGCGGATCGATGGCGGAGGAATGCGCGAGAAATGCTATCTTCTGCGGCGCTCGAGATCGCGCAGAATAGTCCCCGAAAGCGTAAGTACGAATCCGCGGTACGGCGGTGGATTCGTGCGTCGGTTTTGCACAGATATTCGGCCGTCGATCCAACCGTGTTACCAAATTAAGGTGACCAGCCGCACCATCGTATTAATTTAATAACAACAATCGACAATAGCAGCCGATAATGAGAGCGGAGGGGAGGGAGGCCAGGGGAGAATGATAACGAGAGGAGACGAATTGGCTCGCGCGGGCAGGACTTGGAGCGTCAATTTACGAGGTAGCAAAATATCGTAGCGAGCGCTGCACTTGGCGTCGCGAATTCAATTTTGACAACGGGCAGTTTAATTTACAGTTTAGTTCGCGATGCGCGTGCGCACGCTCGCGAGCAGAACGCAGCTTTATATGAAAGATTCGAGATTTCATTAGTGAAAGGGTAAACTTATCGAAGTCATTAGCTTAATGCCGAAGCCGAGCGGCGTTCGCGATCGTTGTAATTGAATCGCGCCGCGGATGCCTTCACGAGTCGAGTGCGTCTCTCCGGCCCTTTTCCCGCGGCCCGTCCCCGTTGTAATTAAATCGAACGCTTGCTTTTATATTCACGCTGCTCGGACGAGGCTAATTTCCCCCCGCGAGCTGGCGTGGAGGCGAGCCTGTCCGTTCGGCCGCCGGTAATTCCATATTAAATAGCGCGATGAACTGGAACCCGGGCAGATGGCCGATATTCAAATTGCACACACCGGCTAATTAATCGTATCACCCCGCAATCTCATCAGACATCTCATTAAATTTGTTCTTCATGAGCGCCGCCGAACATGTGCGCACGCGATATTTGTTCATTAAACTATCAATAACCGCGTAGCTGCGCAAGTCGGAGCGATCTGGATTTGTTATGCTGCATTTGCGCGCACACGCAGGCCAGCGTTACACGAAGCGAAGCGCGCAGGGTACAATTCGGATATCTCTCGCATCGCCAGCGTTTAAGTAATTTAGCGTCGCACGCGCAATTAACCGCTGCGATCGAATCCCGCCGCGAGTGCGTATGATTTATCTGGTGCGATGTCTTCGGGCGGTCGAATGATGATTTTCATACGAGACACGACGCACGCCGCTCGCCGAATTAAGCTCGCGGCCATTCACGGCATTCGTGCCTCCGTGTATAACGGAGCACGACGCGACAATTCCCGCTTTCGACGTCTCTCGCTTTGTCCGCGCGATTGAGCTTTCCATTCGCGCAATTCGTAGCGCGCGATTCCGCCGAAAATAATGGCCGTGTGAGCGGCGACGAATACGCCCGCCTCGGTAAATTACGCGCGCACACGAAGGGTGCGCGAGCGAGCGAGCGGTTCTGAAAATAGCTCGTCATTGAAGCTTCGACGCCCGGCGGAGGGTACTCGAGTCGAGAGGTATACAACCCTTCGACGAGGTCATCCGCGCGAGATACGGCGGGTGAAGAAAGTACACCGTGTAACTTTTTCACCGTGCGGCTGGCTTTTAGCGTTCCGCGGTAATTAAACGGCGCCCGTGTCTCATGCATTTATCGGTTGCCTCGCTCGAGATGAGAGAGAGAGAGAGAGAGAGAGAGAGAGAGAGAGAGAGAGAGAGAGAGAGAGAGAGAGAGAGAGAGAGAGAGAGAGAGAGAGACAGAGAGAGAGAGAGAGAGAGAGCAAAAGGAAAGCGAAACGGAAGCGTTGCCAAACGCGGGAGGGAGGGGGGAGAGGGAATGCAGCGCGAATCGAAACGAATCACGATTTAACGCGCAACGCGCAATGCGCAACGGGCGATTACGTCGCGTTCAAGAATTACGTCACGCTCCTCCGCTCAACAGACACTAACGCACGATCTCTCGTTACTCCGCAGAACATACTTGCAAGGATTTCCGGTGCACTCAGAATGAATTCTGCATCGAGACGGATCTCCTCTGCGACGGCGTGAATCACTGCGGCGACGGATCCGACGAGGCCACTTCCACCCTCTGTGCCAGTAAGTCCTAATTAACAGGTCGATTCATCGTCTGCTTATTATTATTCGACGTGGAGCGAGAGTGAGAGAGAGAGAGAGAGAGAGAGAGAGAGAGAGAGTGAAAATGCGCTTTCGCGTAATTCGCGACACAAACGTAAATGTCGTGTTCGTGCGCGTCGAATCGTACTGCGCCGTTTCGAACGGCGGTAATTAGCGGCACAGATGATGATAATGTGCTAGTTAACACGAGATCAATATGTTCGCCATCAAGCTCGTATCATATATCAAGGAACTTGTGTACCCCGTATGTATCTTTCGAAACACGCCACATTTAATGAGCCAAGCGATTTAGATCGCGGAGATACGATCTCGCATGATTTAGCACAGTTAGTCATGCCGTTAGTTTCGAGTATCAAAACAGATAATGAACGCGCGGAAATTTCAAAAATGTATATGTGCGTGGGTGTGTGTGTGTGTCTATGTGTAATATTCGACGCGCCGACGCGCGTTATCAAAAGTTATTTATTTATCTAGAGGCTATTAAGCTGTTTCAATTCGGTGAGCGAAGCGATTATGAAACACGGGAAATTTGCGCCCTCGACTCTCTCGTAGAAGGCGAAATATTCGTGGATATATGTGTGTGTGTGTGTGTGTGTGTGTGTGTGTGTGTGTGTGCGCGCGCGCGCGCGCGCGCGCGTATGAGCGGCGACGGTAATTCCGTCCGTATAGGAAAGTTGCTCTTTCATCTAATTTATGGAAATCTAGATTTAATTTCTCCGTGAAACAAACAGACCGCCTGATTTTCCATTTTCCAAAGCAGGGAACGTGGGGAGCGGCGGGGGATGGAAGGGGATGGATAATAGCAGTTGCACAACGTCGATGATTTATACACCGCGGTCGCAAACGCCAACGTAACGCGGCGCGAAAGAACGACGATTTGTCCCTCCCCTCCGCAATTTTTGTGTACGAGCGTAGCAAATTGTTGCAATTTCAGAGAAACGACAGAAAAACGGCAGCAAATGGACGCGAACAGAATTTACATGACATTTATGTTAATGGCCGAAAGTACGCGCGCGCGTACGCCGACATATCTAAAGAGGTTAATTGCCCCGTATTCATTACATATCCATGGCCAGCCCGCGATAGCAGCGACAAGTAAATTACAAACTCCACTGTCCGATAATGTCCGAGCGGCCACGTGAGCGCGAACGTGCAGAAATGTAGCATATATTCCGCTGATATTTTGTTAATTCGCCGAGATTTCGTTACAATTTTCGACTTCCATTCACGAGCGGTTAATCAACGTTCGTTTCGCCGAATGATGCGGCGGCGTGCATGCACGCGGAACGACCCCGACGCGGACGGGGACGTGCTCGGCAGAAAAATAAGAATTATACTTTTGACTGCCGGCTGTATATATACATGTATATTTTTTCACGATGGGACCTTTCGCCGCAATTGCGCTAATGACACGCTAATGATTCGCAAAATTTATCGTTCGGAAGGATGGTGACGCGTGTGCGGTATGTGTGTGTGTGTGTGTGTGTGTGTGTGTGTGTGTGTGTGTGTGTGTGTGTGCATGTACGTGTGCGTGTCAGTCGTTTCGCATTGGACCGTTGCACGCAACTGTCCGCGATCGATTTGTCGAAAAGCATGAAGAAAAAAAATAAAACAGGAAAAAGAACAAACAAACGAGGAAAAACAGGAATTACCGTCGGCCATAAAAAACTTTTTATTACTCGCGTTACTTACGACCGTGCCGTGTTCCGTAACGATGAAGCGCGAAGCACACGTCGCTAATATCGATTTGCCGATTCGTCGAAAGTGCACGCGTGTCAGGTGCATATATGTATGTGTGTGTGTGTGTGTGTTGGGCCTTCGATGAAACGTGGCTGTAATTGCAAGGTGGGGCTCGACGCCTCTTACTACGCTTAAGTTTCAGCGAGTTCGCCGTTCGTCTTTTCTTTTTCGCCAATTTTTCGCGGAGTATGCGTGTATTTCTCATCCTCGCAGAAACGAGTACGTTTCTCCGCGAAGGGAAAATTTTAGAGCGAAGATTGGCATCTCGTGCGGATAACTTCCGTTTCGTGAAATTAATCGAGACAACAAAACATAATTATATTCCATCGCGACGTTAGGTTCGCGATTAAGTTATCGCTTTTGCGTAAATGGTACATATTTTTGTTCCCTTTCCTTCTTATGTCTTTTTCACCTTGCTTTTTAATCACGAACAGTCTCTCACGCTCCGAATTAATTTGTCGATTCGTAAGCCGAGCTCGCGTGTTGTCGGCCTGTATGCGATCCGATTTACAAGCCCGCTTAATCTTATCTGCTCCGCCTTTTACAAATTCGCAACTTCATATCACTAAGAATTACAGCCGCGTCTTTGTTCCTTCTCTTTCTCGGTTTGTGTGTATGTATATATATTACTTTCATTACATCCCGATTAACTCGAAGCGCGCCCCTCCTCCTCGCCATGCAATTCCGCCGGTCGTCCCCGGATGGGACGGAAGCTAACGAAGAAAATTGAACTTTTTTCCCGGTCTCTGATTAACAACGGTCTTTCTCTGTAATTTCAGACTCCGAGGCATCGACGATCCTGGGCATGCAGACTACTTGGTTCGCCATCGCCCTTGTTTTTCTGATACTCAGCATAGGCTGCTTGGTAACGGCGGCGGTTCTCTGCTTTTTCAGGAAGCATGTTCTTACCCCGAGGCACCCCCATAACGCGCACAATGCTCAGTCTCATCCCCCAGTCAGCTTCCCATGTGAGTCACAAAAAACCCCCCTTACATGTACACGATCGATTTGGTGTGCTTGTCGTCGTCGTTGCCGTTGCCGCCCGGCGCAACCTTGCGAGCCGTCGGCGAGCCGGCGAGCTCGTACTCTTTTGTGGTTTACTTCACGTACTGTTGCCTCAAAACACGAGCAAAACTTTTTTCTCGCTCGCCACGGGCTGCGTAAAGCTGTTCTACTCTTTTTCTTTTTCTCTCTCTCTCTCTCTCTCTCTCTCTCCTCTCTCTCTCTCTCTCTCTGCTTCTCTCTGCTTCTCTCGCTCTTTCGCTCTTTCGCTCCGTGTCCGAGAGGAAACCATAGAGCTCGCGCGGCAACGGTAACACGGCGACGAAGATGAGAATATCATTCTCGAGAATCGCGAATTGGCCGAGTTTGAAGGGGACTTTGCACGTAAATACTTGTCTGAGAGTATCTCGAGTGTCTCGGCGGATGGCTTATTTGAAAAACGCTGCGAGCCGTTCGATCGAACGGAGAAATATCTTTGACAATCGGAAGGAGAGCTTTTGCGACGGAGCCGAGCTCGATCATACGAAGCATCTTGCGAATGCTACGAGAAAATGTATCTCGTGAGACACTTTAGCTGTGTACGTTCTCAGCTGCGAGGCTTTCTTCACCGCGTCGGGAATGCGAGTATTTACAGTGCGGTCTCTCTCGCACCGGCATGGCGCGCACTGTCAATCATCGCGGTAATTAATTAATTCTCGGCTCGGAATACGTTAGCGTATTCGCTGTAAAGTCACGTCCCCCGCCGCTTGAGCTTGAGCCAATGATCAAAGGAATTCACGCGTTCGCGATTATGGCATAAAATATACATTTATTTATGATGCTTTGTGTGCGAGGCTCCTCCCCAACGAATTCCCCAAAATTCGCCATATTGTGCGCCTCGTATCATTGCGCAGAGCGGTCAAATAATGTCGGCCAAGTAAAGTTCCCGATCGTCTCTCTGCACGCGCGAACGCGCGCACGCATACGAATAGCCGTGTATCCGCGTCTTCCTCCAATAAACATTTTAAAGGTCTACTTACGCGCGCGCCAAATTGGAAATCGATATCGTATTTCACGGGGAAATAAGTTACCGACCGGAGAAGGTCATCGATAACCGACCACCGTGAGTGCCGTGCTCTCTTCCCTTTCCCTCTTGTTTTCCTTTTTCGTTTTCCTTCTTTCTTTTTATTTAGCACATAATCCTGATCGTATTCCTGACAATTTCATCTTTCGAGCGCACGTGTGCGCGCCGGCTATTTATATCGGAGGGCACGTTTTCCGTCCCGTCACGAGACCTTCCGCCTCGCGTCTCTGACGAAAATCGCGCGATACTGCATCCTCGGCTCTCCTCATCCCCGAACGAGAGACACGCGCGGCGCGACGCGTCGATTCGAAGCGCCACGCGTTTAATTCTTCACGCGTCGATTAACGCGCGCGTAGCGCGTGAACGAGTGCGTGTTGCGTGCGTATTTACACGTCGATACGTTCTATTACGGTGCAACGGCGTATTACACGTAATAACGACGGATTGTTCCTGATTTGGGGGATTATTACGTTAGAATTACGTTTACGAAACGTTACATTACCGCGGTTGCGCGCGCGCGTGCACACCTCATCATTACGCCCACCACGCCGATCGGCGGTGCTCGATTATGCTAATCTCATCCGAGCACCCCGTATGCAGTATTTGCTTTTCATTCGATTGCGTAGCGGTTTACCTGGCACTTCAGCACGTCATCTCGTTTCACAACGACGATTCTAATTAATTAATTCAACCGTTCGAAGGTTTGACGGACGCATTTGGCAAGCCGCGTCCGTGTCGTTTCGCGCTATATTTGCGGCTGGCCATTAGATTTATTTATCGATGGCAGAGCTCTGTCGCGGTCACATGCATGCAAATATATATATATATATATATACATAACATGTGTGTGTGTGTGTGTGTGTGTGCACATAGCGCACCGCGAGGGTGTCGCGCTCCTCGGTCGCGACATTTATATCGCGCGCTCGTCCCGTTTCCATGAACGATCTTGCGCGGATAAAACGTGTTTCCTCTTTATCTTTAGCGGCGAGAGCGCGTGGCTGACACACACGTTCTTCGTGTCTCTCGTCGTGGCAGATAACGTCTAGAGTTTCCTTGGCGAGCGCGACGCGCTCCCGCGTGGCAAAGGTTCTTTGAACGTGCATAAAGGAAGAGGAGAGAAAAAATACGTTTTAATCGTTGAGTAACGAGAACGAAGTCGCTCGCGTGACGTCGATGACGCTCGAACCCGGTGACCTTTCGCGCGGATAAAGTCGGCCCAAATATCTGTGGCTGGCGCTGAATTAATCAGAAAGCATGGGCGCGATTGAATCCCGCTATAATTAAGCGGCCAGATGATCGATAGTCCGGCCGATATTCCCGTTTTACAACAACATCCGTTATTTATTTGCGCGTAACTGCTACCGCGCGCATATCGACGACGGCGGCGGCGGCGGCGGCGGCGGTAGAGGCGGTGGCGGCGGTGGCGGCGGTGGCGGCGGTAGTGGTGGTGGTGGTGGTGGTGGTGGTGGTGGCGGTACTGCTGGCGGGGTGGCGGCGATGCAACGAAATTAGAGGGCGGAGATACAGCGGATGAAAAAAAAAACGAAGAAGAGAATACACGAGAAAAACGGAACAAAACGCGCGTCGGTGTTTTCATTAAGCGATCGATCGATCGGCTGTGCCGGTCACGCCACCGCCGCCGCCGCCGCTTGGTTTCTCCGTTGCGCTCGTTTTATAATATCGTTTGGCTTTTCGCGATTTCAATCGGCGAGCATTTCCAGCGCGCCGTATCGCGATGTTCGCCGCAATTTCTCCGATGTATAGGCCATTGTTTTTCGGGCCCGCCGGTAATCGATAGCAAATAGCGCGTGCCTCGCGGCTTGCTTCGTCCCATTTGTTCATTGCTATTACTAACTGCAAGAGACGGGACAAGGAGGGGCGAGGAAGATGGGCGAACGAATAGATAGATAAATAGCTGGGTAGATAGACAGGTGGGTGAAGAGAAGTGGAGAGAGAGAGAGAGAGAGAGAGAGAGAGAGAGAGAGAGAGAGAGAGAGAGAGAGAGAGAGAGAGAGCGAGAGCGAGAGCGAGAGCGAGAGCGAGAGAGAGAGAGAGAGAGAGGGAGAGAGACAGAGAGAGAAAGGGCGCACGCTCGCGCGCGTTTAAATTAGTTTAATATACAAAAGCCGAGACCAGCGCAGTCTCTCTCTCTCTCTCTCTCTCTCTCTGGTTGCGCGCGACGCCGCGCACTGGAAATTCGATTATCCGAAACAAACGACGGACGAGCAAGCGCACGTCGGATAATTAATTCCCGGAGAAACGCGCGCGCACGCGCGCGTTTTCGGTTGACTAATGGAACAACGTCTGTCTGCGAGCGGGCGAACGCATGGCGCTCGAGCTATGCGCGCACGCGGAGCGCTCGCGAGTGATACGTTATCAACGGATTATCGGCGCGCGGTTGACCGTCGACGGCGGCCGAATGCGTGTTATACGAGTGCCAGCTGATTCGCGTGGGCGATACGCGGCCGAATCTGCGGTGTAAATCAAATCGGTGCTGAAGGAAAGCGACGTCGCGAGCGAACGAGCGCGCTCGTTCACTCGCGAGTTTCGCTCACCGCGGGAATTTACGTAGCGCTGTTCACCGCGGCTTCTCTTTTTTTTTATTATCGATCGGGAAGTTTATCGCCGGTCCAGTCAACGCGATCGGAATTGCGCTTTGAAAGGGACTCGGGCTTGCGCCCGATTCGTCAGCGACGAGTCGCGCGAAAATACGATCTCATCACGTTGTAACGAGGAACAATTAAATATTACTATCTTGATCGTGCGCATTCGCCAGCTGCTGACTCGACACGAAACGCCGACATCGAGAAAGCGCTTTGGGATTCGATTTGGGACGAGGAATGGATTCAACTCTCTGCGTCCAAGTTGGACGCGGTCGAATCGCCTTACGCGTGTAAATACCGTGTCCGCCGTTAATCACCTCTTTGTGCAATCATCGCTATTATCCGTGCGCGTCCGGTGATTGTGGGCGGTAAGACGCGCCCAAGATATCGCTCTCGCGATTTTCCGTTTTTACTTTCCCGGACAATCGGCTCGTGGCCGGAGGTCGCAGCTAAGGGCGAGGCTACGCGACGAAGAAGACCGCTGCTTACGTCGCCCCGATTTAATGGAGCGCGTCGACTCGATAACAGTCGCCGGCGAGCGCGCGCCTCTTTCGAGATTTATTAGCGCCTGCTGAGCGTTCGCCGTGCTTGATAGGCGCTTTTTGCGACCGCGTCGTGTCGTTTCGAGAGTGTCGCGAGTGGCGAACGCTAAGAAGTCGCGACAAGTCGCGGACTTCTCCATCGTGCAAGTCGTCGCGATACGTCTCCGACGGTAAAGTTCGCGCTTCGACGAGAGCGTTATATGAGAGCGACGCGAAACATTCCCCCGCCCTCCCGCTTGCCCTCCCTCTCGCTCTGCGTCGTCCTTTTTCACACGCAAACGCGATGTCCTGGCGCGGCTGTAGTGATTGCTACGTGATCGGCTGCTAAATCCACGCGCTGCGCGCGAGCGCGATGAAAGATGCTCTTTTTCACGGCACACCGACATTTCCGATCAACACCGCCAGCCCACCCCCGTCTCTCTCCACACCGAAATACACATCCTGCGGTTGCGCTGGTTTGTACGGCGACGCGCCTCGTTGCACCATCGGCCATGCGGATATTTGTACATCGGTGCGGCATCTCACCTAGCGCCGTTTTGTCGAATTTCATTCGACCGATATTTACCCGAGTGTCGGCGCCCACCCAGCATGCCCAGCCGCGATATGCGCTATCGGAAATAAAAATCTATGAAACGTCTACGAGGGATGAAATTCCTCCTTTTTCATAGATAGATTGCGGCGCGCCGATTCGAGAACAGATTGCGGATTGCGGACGAGAGATCGATATGTAAGTTTGACATTTCGGGCTCTCTCTCTCTCTCTCTCTCTCTCTCTCTCTCTCTCTCTCTCTCTCTGTTTAACGCGATACAATTGAACCACCCCTGCGTTCCCGCCGCTGCGACGTACGCATTAGCAATGTATGTATTTCCGAGAGAGGGAAGTTATTCAGAATACACGCGATTCCGCGAGATAGTCAATTCGCGTACAACGCGCGGATCGCGGATGCACTTGAGACCGGTGCATCCGAGTTCGGCGGAATAGCAATAAATTGAAGCAACGCAGTGAACTTTGCATCATACAGGAAAGGAGGCGGAAAGGAGCGCGAGCTCGAATGTCGAATACCGCGCTGCGGGGTATAAAACGGAGAGAGAGACGGGTCTCGCCAAATATTTATCGTGAAACTTTTATGTGCATGCGTATCGTGCGCGCGCGCGCGCGCGCGCGCGTACAGGATTTCCGAGGAATATAAAATCGAAGGATACCCGACGCGACTCCGCGCGCAATTTCACCCCGCATTCGGGAGTAATTCATTTTGCGGCATTTGCCCCCCGGCGAGGAGAGAGTCGTTCTGCGCGCGGCATTCTCCGCGCGCGAGCTTCCCGCGCGAATGTAATTGTTTATTCGAAATAACTCTCCGGCGAAACTAAAATCAGGAATTACACCGCAACTCGCATTCGCATCCGGGCGAGGAAAGCGGCGGAACTGCAAAATAACGAACGACGCTGCCGCGGAAACGAAGAAGAAGAAATTACGTCGCATCCCGGGGATTGGCGAGAGAATATCGAAATAACAACGCGCGAGCGAGAGGGACGAGCGCTCATGTACGCGCTCAAACACACAAACACACGTGCGAACGCGAACATGCAACGCGATACACACGCCACTGCCGCCTCTGCTTTCTACAAAATAAATATCGATATCTCATACCTTAATAAACGGTTCCGCGTGCACCTCGCGCGCGTTCTCGTTACGATATTCCGCCGTCTCGGGAATATAGAGGAAAATGCAGAATAAATGCAAGCGAAAGGTACATCACGCTTTGGCCCCGGCCCAAAAAGGGCTCGACAACTTCGTCGATGGCTTTTTCCAGGGCTGGGGGCCGGGGAAATAGAAAAATACGCCGCCGCCGCGCACGGGGAATTCGCGGTAATAATAAATAGCCGCGGAAAATCGATGACTACGACGACGACGACGACGACTTAATTCCTCCTGGGCGCTGAGAAAATAGCTCCTCCTTCTCCTGAGGAGGAGGAGTCGATTACGGTCTATCTGTAAATTTAGCGAACGGGGACGTCGCGCCGTTTTCAATCGGCGAGCGAGCCGCGCGCGCTGAAATAATTCGCTCGCGTGCAGCGGCTCGGCCATTAACATTCGCGGCGCGAGCTTGCGAGCTAATGAATTTCATTCATTCACCGCGCGCGCGCGCGCGCGCGCGCGCACGCTCACGGCAATTGACGCAAAACCGTGGTGTCTGGTCCGAAGACGCGCACTTTGAGACCGACCGTCGTCGCATAAGCCAATTTATATTAGATATTTTCGCTCGTGCAACACGTCCATTTCCACCGCCGTCGCTCCTTGCAGTGTGGATTTTGTTTTATCTCCTCCTCTTCAACAGACGCATCGCGCGCCGCTTCAATTGCGGGGCGAGCCCCTGCGCTTCGTTATCGATTTTCTTGATTTCCCGAGGAAATAACGCGATTAACAGGAGGAAAGGGGGACACGAGCGGTAATCGAGCGTAATTGAGCGCAGCGCGCGACGACAACAGAAACGGATATTTTCGGCGACGTGGACCCTTGGATCGACGATGTGCTGGCTTTGTTCGCGGTTGTCTCGCCGCGGGTGTCCCCGCCGACGTGTACGCTCGCTCTTTTACGACAAATGACAGCGCGATTCTTGCCGGCAATAACGCGCCTGTGTGTGGTGCGATTCTTTAACTCGTTATTGGATTGGAGTTAACGACAGTTTCGTCATCGTTGCGCATCGTTTTCTACGGTATACAAAAGCTGCGCAACGATAACGAAAGTGTCGTTAACGTCGTCCGATAACGAGTTGCAGAATCGCAGCAATGGCGCGGTTAACCGGGGCTCACCTGGCGATCGATAACACTGATAATTACGTGGACGCGCGTATAATTGGGACAGCCCGGATCGATCGAGCGGCGGCGGCGGCGGCGGCGGCGGCGGCGGCGAATGTAAGAGCATTTTTGACCACGATTAACATTCACGTCCGCGCGCCGGCTCGTGAAAGTCCGCGTCGATACCGGCTCGTAGGCCGCATGCCAACTCGGACGAAATTTCACCTTCGAGCATGCCGGGGCGGAAGTGAGGACGACACTTTCACGAGCTCTTCCGAGATGCGTCAGTCTCGCGGGCGCGCGCGATGACACGTCGCTGGCCGACGTGATGATGATTTGGCCCGAGATAATATTTGGCAGCGTAATCGCGGTGAAAAACGCGGTGACGCGAACGAGACTCGACTCGCACAAGTTGGTGCATTATTCAAAACAACCTTCGATGTCAATGAGATCGGTCGTGCGAGAAGGAACGCCGTTATTATATCCGCTGATAAGTCAAAGAGGACAACTTTTAATTACCATGAACCGCGCTCGCGATATAACAGCCTCAAAGTTATCTTCGTTATTGGGGCGCATTATCACGACGACAATGCGTCTCGCGCTTCCTATCGGGCTGCGCTCACTTGAATGTAGAAGCGCAAATACTTACTGGCATTACCGGCGTAGCTTCTGCCTGCGAGCTACGGGTCGGATTAAGCGTCGCGATATCGATCATACCTATGGCTTCTCAAACGTACATTTAGAAAACGAAGTCGCTTCCGCTCCTAAGGGCTAAAGTAAAGTAGAGGACAAAATTTCAAGTACTCCTCGGCCGTTCGTTCTTTTAACGCGTCGTTCCTTCCAGCTGATTGATTCTTATCGACATGTAGGAATCATTGAGTATAGAAGAGAAAAAGAAGGGAAAAATGAGAGAGAGAGAGAGAGAGAGAGAGACTGGCGCTTATACATACATATATATATATATATATCCGTTATAAGAGAAGTTTCCTTTTATCGGCGTGCAAGCAGATTTCGCCGCACATCGACATGTTCGACGCGCTGAATTCCGCCGAGCAACGGTTAAGGAAACACGCGTATTCCGAAAATTTCCAATTTGTCCGATCCGAGTAGAAGAGAGAGAGGGGGAGAGAGAGAGGCGGAGAGAGGGGGAGAGAGGGGGAGAGAGGGGGAGAGAGAGAGAGAGAGAGAGAGAGAGAGTGCCATTATATTTCACATACCGTGCATCATCTCCACATTCATCGACGAGGCGAATGGCCCGGCCTAGCGCCGATCGCGCCCAAACGCGCTGCTCATCGATCCGTCACCGAGCATGGCCGCAATCATTTCGCGAATCACTCGACCTAGCCGGCTTCGCTTGCGCGCACAATCGCTCCATTGATTAGAACGGCGGCGCCGGTGCTTATCGCGCTGTTGTATCGAGCGACGATACAATAACGCGCTTTAATCCGCCCACGTCTGCACTGCGCGCACACCGCGCGCGCGGCGCGGCGTAAGGTCGCAAGCGCGACCAGTAGGCGAGCTGCAGCATGCGACACGCGGCGAACATCTCGCGCGTGTTCCGCCTCGTCATCGATTCGTCCTACGTGCCGACGCCGCGTCGTTTCGTGTAACAAGGTGATGACGGCGGCGGGTGAGTGATGAAAAACAGAGAGAAAACGCGGCGATTCTCCGTGGAACGAAGCGCCTCCGGCCGCTTTTTGTTGTTCCGGATCGGCGACGCGGCGCGCGTGCGTTTGTGGCAGTCTTATCGGAATACGATTGGGCCCTCCTTTTCATTTTTAACGCACGAGCAACTCTTCCGCACGGTCTCTCTCTCTCTCTCTCTCTCTCGATATCATCGTTGCAAAATCGACTCGCACTGCTTCGTCGCGAAATGAAATCGTCCAATTAGAAATCGTGAAGAACGACCGAACCAAGAGCGATTTTTCGTCGCGTTTCTAAAATTCCAATTTCTGGCCCAATCTCGGGCCGGGCCGGACCGAATTCTTCGGGAGAAACCGCGCGACGTGGATGATCGCCGGACGTGTGTAGGTGGTCGCCGAAAATCTCGCGAAACTCGCTTTCCGCGGCATCGATCCGCCTGATAAAATGTCGCCGCGCGCGCGGTGTGCTCTTTAGGGATTCCTAGCTCGTCGCGGCTCGTCTCGTACGTGATGATCTATCGCGGAGTTTCGCCAGCGACAAGGTCCGACGACTGGTCGCCGCCTCAGCGGCCAGTTCCCTCCAGACGCCCGAGCGGAGTCGTTCGCGGCCACCGCGCTTCAAGTGGACTCGCTCGCGACGGACGCGAGATGACGGCCACCAGGCAAGCGTGGGGGACCCTCCTGACCTTCTTCCTGATCGCCGTCAAGCTCGCCGCGGCCGCGAACACGCAAACTTTCGTGGTGAGCAACACACTGGACGATAAGGATTACTTTGTGGGACCCTGTCTAGTCAACACCAATCAGACCTGTCCCGACCAAGAGGTGACGTTCTACCTCTACACCAAACACAACCCTGACGCGGGGCAACAACTGCTGGTGAACGAGTCGGCCTCGAATCTCGCAGGCACCAACTTTGTAGCCAAGTTAGCCACGAAGATCATCATTCACGGTTACAATTCGGACATGCAGTTGGACTACTTGGTGGACATTAGGAACGAGTATCTGAAGAAGGGCGGTTACAACATAATCGCGGTCGACTGGCACCGTCTGGCGGCCGCGCCGTGTTACCCGATGGCCGTCCACAACGTGCCCCACGTGGGTGACTGCCTGGCCCAGATGATAGAACGTCTGAAGGATTACGGGGCGACGGACATCCACGTGATCGGCTTCAGCCTGGGCGCCCACGTGCCGGCTTTCGCAGCCAACGCGCTGCGCCCTTATCGGCTGCCGAGGATCACCGGCCTCGATCCGGCGATGCCGCTCTTCGTCACCGTGAACAAGGACGAGAAGCTCGACGCGAGCGACGCCGAGTTCGTCGACGTGCTGCACACCAACGCCTTCATCCAGGGTAAGATCGAGGCGAGCGGCCATATCGATTTCTACATGAACGGAGGGGTCAACCAGCCCGGCTGCTGGGAGCAACGGAACCCCTTCGGCTGCAACCATCACAGGGCCGCCGCGTACTTTGCCGAGTCGATCAACTCGAGGATCGGCTTCTGGGGCTGGCCCTGCTCCGGTTTCGTGGCTTATCTTCTCGGTCTCTGCCCGCCCAGATTCCCCGCGGTGCTCATGGGCGAGGACATCAATAGGAGATATCAGGGATTCCATCTGGTGAAGACGAGGGCACGAAGCCCGTACGCGGAGGGGATGTTCACGGTGGATCAGCAGGATCTTTACGTGTGATCGCGGGACGTGCGCGGGCCGCGCGGGCGTCAATGGCCCGTCTCGAGGAAAATGTTACGACGAGGAGAGAGACCGTCGGCGGTGAGAGAGGAGATAGAGATAGAGACTCCGTACAGATTGATGAAACGCGAAGGTGCCGGCGAAAATGTAAAGGACTCCTCGTGTTAACGTCATCGCGCGTCGGCGAGATTGAGATGTCTCAATATCGAGCGCCGAGTACCTTGTCAAGGGAATACCGTCGTAAGTCGCGTTCGACGCGCCGCAGCGACGCGAGCTCCCGAATAGAAATAGAACGTCAGAGGTATCCTTATCTAATCTAGAGGAAGAGGGAAGCAGAGGAGGGAAGAAAACGCGCGACGTAGTGTCCGCGACTTGGCAATCTCGAAAGTGATAGAAAAGTGCGTTTTATCTTCGTCACTCTTGCACTCGTAGAAGATAGCGCGCGCGCGCGCGCGTGCGTGCTAATAAGTTATCGCACCTTCGCTGGCTTTACAGCGTATAATATCGTTACGATACATTACAATGTGTAATATTCCGCAGCAATATCGCCGAGCTGACGCTCCCGCGGAACATTCATTCCGGAGAGAACGTTCATCGCGGGGAAACGGCGCGGCGATCGCGCTTCCTGCGCTACCGCGACAATGCATTGTAATTTCAACGTGTTCATCGTTGTCATCGTCCGAGTTAATCGCGCCTGCGGCTGAACGGAAAGAAGGCAACGAGCGAAAGATTCGACCTGAGCGGAGAATCTCGCGCGCGCGCGCGCGGACTGAGGCGCGTTTCTTCGTCAACTTTGGAACACGTTGTACGTTACGTTACGAGCTCGCGAGCCCGAGGTTGCGCGAGGAGGAGCTCAAGGAGGAGGAAGAGGTCTAGCACCGTGTCAAGGTCAGACAGAACTGTAGCCGGGACCTGCTAATCGATATCTCGCCAAACCGGAGAAGTGGGGCGGACATGACTGCGACATGCTCGCGTAGCGGGCAATTTCTTATCGATCCAATGCGCGGGAGCTCGCTCATTCGCTCGTATGTCGATCGAATAAAAAGTATTTAACTGTATCTATCCATCTATCGGTCAGCCTACCCATCTCTATATCTCTCCCGTTCGTCTGTCTGTCTGTCTGTCTGTCGGACGGTCGGACGGTCGGTCGGTCGGTCGGTCGCTCGCTCTGCCCGCCTGTGTGTCCGCCGTCTATCTGTCCGTTTATCCGCCTATTTAAATTGTTTCCCTACCGACGTATTTTCACGGTAACGATATTGTCGAGCCTCGACGTCGTCGGACTCGCGGACTCGACGCGGATTCACCGGTAGACTTTCTCCGATTATTCTCTATCTCGACATGTTTCCCGTGTTCCTCGTAATTATTCATCGATAATGAGAGAGTATGTGTACGTTTAAACGCATGGCTGCCCCTGTAGAAAAATATGCACCGTGTATGTCGTCAGTGACGTACGAGTCTTGAGAAATGAGATTTGGAATGGACGGGTACGGTAACGCCGGTATATGCCGGTGCGCAGGATTTCTCGCAAACCTCGCTCGCGACTCGCTCGTGTCTTCCGCGGGGATGCTCGATATCAAGGAAGCGATGACTCTTGCTACGGCAAGCTACCGGAAGCCTCACCAACTGATTCTGTTAAGTCCCTAAGGATCGATCTCGGGAGAATAAAACCTATTACCCGTGTACGTCACGGGAGACACTTGCCCGAAGTCAAAGGTATCGCGCGCGCGAGTGGCTTCTCGTTTATTTTTACCTTGGACCGTTGCAAAAATCGGGGGAAGCAAACTCGATTTGCTTTGTATGTGCATGCGTATGTGTGTGTGTGTGTGTGTGTGTGGATATGTGTGCGCACCCGCATGTATTACAGCCAACATATATTGTATCGAGAGTCAAAAGAAACAAAATAAAATAAAATCTCGTGGGATTCGATTCAGTGAACCTTTCTGCCGCTCGTTATTTTTCCATTTTCGATCTTTTTATTCCCGCTGAAAAAGGAGTATTTCCAGGAGTAAATAGTTTTTCCACTCCACGTCATTTACGTCGATTTATTATTATCTCTTGTTATCCTTCCCGCGCAACGACTACCCGGATCTCCTGTGAACGAACGCATCGCAGCGAGAGCTGATGCATCTTTGCGATTCTAATCCGCGTGACAAATCCGCGCCCGATCGACGATTGTGTTTAATTACAAATTCGCGACACGCAAAACGACAAGTCACACGACGACATTATCGCTCTTTCTCCGCCCTTTTCTCACCCTCTACCCACGCAGCCACCCCGTTAACCTCGTTTCCGGCGAGCCGCTCATATAATGCGATCCAATCAACTTAATTCCGCTGTATCAAAGCACTCGAAATCCGAGCGGCCTGATTCGAATGTTAATGAATGCGAGGAACGCGCTACGGACGCGGGCGCGCGCGCGCGCGCGATAGTATCCAAACAATTCGTTAGCAACTAACGAGACCCTCGTTACCGGCTACGTGACGGCAAGAATGATCGCCGTAAAAAGCGGCGCGACACCGCGCCGTGCCGGAGAATAATCCCTCTCGCGAGGAAGCTCAACTCAGTCACAGCTGAAACCGAACGACAAATCCCGCTCGCCGGTCGCCGTTTTCAGCAACAGGTAGCACTCGGTGCTAATTTGCGATTAAGCCGCGAGAGATCGTCGCTCGCGCCCTACGCCCGCTCAATTAAGACTCTTAAATCGACTTCGGACGAGCAGCTCCGGCAGCTCTGCGATCGCGAGCATGACCGTGCCGAGTCATCGTCCACGAATCGATACGCAGCTTGATGCGCGCGAGGTGGACCGATCGTGCGGAGGTTCGACGTTGCGGACGGTAATACCGTCGTAAGGTGTTGGGCACTTTGCAAATCAATTCCGGGGCTTCGTGAGTTTAGACTCGGCGAGGTCTCGGCGAATGCGTGACATTGGTATTCGCGACGTGATTAGCGCGAGTTCAAGTTGCCAACGATAAAAACATAAACATTTTCGCGCTCCGAGACAGGCACTAGGCGTATTTGGAGGGAACCCTGTCAAGCCGGACCGGGAAGAACGTCGAACACTTTCTCTCTCGTCGTCGGCCGTCGATTCAATCTCTGCCCGTCGTCGAGTGCACAAAGCGCGCATCGGAAAATCTTCGAAAAGGAAAGAAACGCGAGATCGGACAGAATTGTATGCGTCGCCGCTATCTTTCCATCCGGACGAAAGAGCTGGTTGATTATCATACTTTGCGAGCGGCCAGCGACGACGGCGGCCGTATTAAAAGTTACTGGAATAGTTGAGGGGTGAGGAGGCTCGAACCGTTTCCTCGAGTACACAATTTAAACTTAGGCGGAGAAATGCGCATCCTTACCGACCGCAATCCCGCATTCTCGCGCCGTTGCATCGCGTCGCATGTCGCATCGCGTCGCATCGTTTTGGATCGCCGTGGGAAGGGTTGATCCGTGTCTGCGCTGGTCCAATCCCATGAAGCGCGCAAGAATGCCAATCTCGGCGATAGAACGCGAGAAGTCTTCGGGAAAATGGAAAGGAGAGCGAGGGGAAATGGCATGTGCAAGCCCGTCGAAGACGTCCCGAGTGCACGCGCGCCCCGTCGCCGCAAAGGCCGCTAATTCGCGACACGAAGGACGTCGGCGGGAAATTTCTTAAAAATGCCGCTTGAATCGAACGTCAATCGAACGTTATTGCTTCGAGCGAGCACACGCTCGCGGATAATTGCGACGAATGACCGCTCCAAACGACCGAAAACTGTCCTCTTCGCGCAAAATAAATACCTTTACGCGAGATGAATTTTTACCCGGTGTTTTTTTTTTTTTTTTTATATATTCTTTTTCCTTCCTACATGCCCTTTTAAACGGCGGTGCGTCACGATAGCCATATTGCGCTCGGCGCGCGATACTCGACGTTGCACGCAAAATAAAAATGTGGAAGGCAAATCCTCTGTGTAGTCCACTTTCCATGATTTACCCCGGTATTCGCGCGCACACAACATGTCTCCCTTGGTCCGGACAGATATATACGCGCGCCCTTGCCGGCGCGGTATCCGAGATAATTTGAATTCGCCGAGTGGAATATAATTTAATAAAACTTTACCGCGGAATTCGCATTAGCCACGCATTACCCCGGCTCCTCTCTTCTCGTCGGCTGTTCTCTGCGCTGTTTACTCTGCCTCGGGGCTATTTTCACAGGAGAGAGGGAGATAGCGAGAGAGAGAGAGAGAGGGGGGAGGGGGGAGGGGGAGGGGGGAGAGGGAGAGAGAGAGAGAGAGAGAGAGAGAGAGAGAGAGAGCACCGGGGAGATTTATTTCGTAAGATTTACGACCGCCACGATGCTATGTCTGACGGCATTTCGGGAACTTTGAAACGATTTTACCGTCGAGTTCATCGAGACCGCTGCCTCCGCTCCCTTCGTAAATAACTGCAAATTCGCACGATTAGTTATGGCAAAGTCCGCGGTATATAACATCGCGTAATGTTGACTCGTGACCACTCACAAATGAAATCGTGGACGAAGATAAACGGAACGGTCACTTGTCGTTTTGCAGAGTGCCGTTTTTCATAAGGCATCTCCATCTATTTGAAATGATCGGCTGAGGATATCTCGAGATGCGTTCGCAAAGTTTTCGTACGAGAGAAAAAAGGCCCGTTTTTCCCTTTATCGCACGATTGTCGCTGGGAATAGGCCGTTCTTTCGCATCGATCTCGTCGTATACCGCGAAACACGACATCTCCACACTTTACATATTTACATATGCGCGCTCCGAGGAAACGTGTCGTGCGCAGGGCGTTGCGTATTAAAATAACCGCTCCGCACGGGGGAGAACCGCTCGAGCCATTTTCGAAAACGTCATCGTCCGTGCTACGCGAGGTCTGAGAATCCCGTGGCCATCGCCAATGTGCGACCCCGATCTCCGAGAAATCAATACCGGTTGTTCCGGAATAGTCGTAACATTCTCCCGCCGCGCGTTTTCCGCGCGATGATCTGTTGCACGCCGTCGGTTATTGTCGGGCGCTGTGGGTTTTGCCGGCGATTTCGCTAAAAGCCCTTTATGGCGCTTACGGGAAATTGCAATGAGATCAGATTCTGGGTAGCATCATCCAGCGACTACAGCCTCATGCATATTCCGAAAGTGCACTCGTCCGTCAGCGCGGAGAATTCACTTTTGGCACTGTTATAATTCCGACTGCCGTGCAACTCTTGCATCACGTGAATGCATTCTGGCTGATACTGAAAATTTCCCTCCCCCTCCCCCATCCCCCTCCCCTCTCTCTTTCTCTGTCGGCTGGCTTCTTAACAGCTGGCGATGTAATAGCGACATTCTTCGAGATTTTAGCAACGCCGCATTTTGACGGCGTTGCTAATGCGCTGAAGCGAGTGCGGCGATTGTCACGGAATTTAATGACGATCGTCGAGAATTCGCGTTTCACGCGAAAAATGATCGTGTAACGCCGATTCGCCGCGGCGCGGCTTATCGCGCGAAAAGTGATATTCGCCTAGTTCATGTATGTACGTGATTTATCGCACTTTCCGCGAGTTCGCCAGAGACACACCGCTGCTAATCGCGGCATGTTAATTTGTCAGACGTCTCGACAAAGTTGAAATTCGCCGAAAGCATTTTCTCTCTTTTTCTCGCGAGCGTAATCGTGTCATACGTGTCTGCGGATTCACCGGGAATTTCATAACATTGCGAGATAACGTACGGAACAGAACAAGAACGTAAATCCGTCGGCGGTAAAATTCCCCGCCCGGACCTCGAGGCCATTTTCGCGGGCTCTTCAACAGTTTCGGTGTCGACCATAAATTTTTGGTCGAATGGCATTCTTCGGCGGGACTGGCGGTTTTTTTCGATGGTCTGAAAAATGCCGCCTCACGGAGCGGCGAATTTACGGAAAAAAAGCGCCGACGTCGTCAAGGAGGTCAAAAAATAGGATCCCTCTCTCTTTATAAGCGAGATGATGAAAGGAGGAGACACAGAGAGAGAGAGAGGGAGAGAGAGGGGGAGAGAGAGAGAGAGAGAGAGAGAGAGAGAGAGAGAGAGAGAGAGAGAGAGAGAGAGAGAGAGAAAGAAAGAAAGATGAGAATTTCATCGTGGAATGCGCAGCCACCCGCTCTTTCTCTGTGAGTGACATTTTGAGTTAAGGCGGATCACACGGGGGAAAATGCATATTCGCCGGATAAAGAAAACGCACTTTGACCGTGACCGTAAACCTGCACTTTATACGCGAAATAATCGAGGATATTCCTTCCGGCGCAATAACTTTTAATGCGGCTTACTCAGTCTAACTCATTTCTTCGGGATGCGATATTAACATCGCGTAAACGTAGAGCTAAGACTATCAAAAATTCATTGCGCTTTTTAAACTAGAGATACACCGTAATAAATTCCCTTCTCCCCGAGTCACCCCGACCTCAAACCTTTATATCGCGCCGCGTTGATCGTCAGCGCGGCCGTTTAAAATTCAAGCTATGCAGCGAAAAGGGATAATAGAGTAATATATCATAAGCGGGAGCGACGTTTTCGCAAAAATATGAGAAACGTACGCTACGCTATATCGCGTCCACCGTAATGTAACATAATGCCATTACCGGATCCTGTCACACGAGCCAAACTGTACTATCGAATTTGCAACTGCAATAGAGAGAGCAATTAATCGTCCGGTAATGCGGCCGATCGTTTTCACGAGCCATATAAAGGGCAATTGATTTAAATCACTCGTGCGTTATATCGAAGTGCCGTTAGTTTTGTCGCGTATGTTGTAAAACTATGGATCTTCAATTATCGCGCTCGTATGTCCGTGTGCGATTATCTCGTCGCGAATAATAATAATAAGCTTAAACTGCGGCCCGACAATTCGCTTTAAATTAGTGGCGCGGCTCTCGACGTTTACACATAGAGGAGGAGAGAGAGAGAGAGAGAGAGAGAGAGAGAGAGAGAGAG